CTTTGGGGGCGACACTTCGGTCCATCGTCGAGGAATGAGCCCTCGATGCCGAGAACACGGAAACGGATCCTGCTGGCCTGAGGCCATGGGTGGAAGGTTGTCGCTCTTAATGTAGGCGTCGGCGTTCGCGTTGCAGCGGCAAAGCCAGAGCCGGTGATGAGAGGTCCCACTTTGATCGTCGCAGTGGTCACACACACATACATCAGGTAGTTGTTCGGGACGCCTGAGTTGCTCGACCTTCCTCGCCTTGGGTCAAGCTTCTCCTACTGCGATGCTCAGCAACAGACCAGCAAGACGTCGACCAATCTTGGGGATTGCCTGTGGCTGCTGTAGGAGCTTGCGGTATGAGTGGCTGCCTTTGCCTTCCTGGAGTCTTTCCCCGTCGTGGTGCCTGCTCGCGCTGGTCCACTGCTTGGCCATCGCTGCATGCCCCAATCAGCACAGAATCAGAAAGGCTAGCCACACCTATCGTCTCAATGCAAGCAGAAGAAAAAAACAACACCTAACGCTTCAATGCCAATGAACTTGATGTCAGGGAACTCCTACGAGTAGCTGCCAGGAGGGTCCCAGGCTGTGGGGGATCTCCGTTCCCGGCCCAGGTCCAACCCATGACACATGATGGCAGGCATGGGCCCACGCACGTGCCCGGACCTCTTTGCAGACGGTATCCCTTCCAGCTTCTGTCGCAGCTTGGGCCAGGACCGAGTGATCCCTGCCCTGGCCTCTGGTCGCGCACGCCACTGCTGAAGCCAAGGAGACAAGGAGACACGTACCGTGCATGAGCCGTGAACCGTGCGGCGGGGTCCTGGCCATGAGCTTCGCGATCTGCTGGGGTCGTGCGGCATTGGCGCTTGGTGCGGGCGCTGCAAGCCGCCTCCGGCCTACGTCCGCGATCTACCGGGTCCTGCCCACGAGCACCGTGAAGCTTGCAGCCGCAGCTCCCTGCCGCCTGCTCGCCTTGCCGCTCCAAGCGTAAGCCAGGCGATCGCAAACATGGATCAAAGGGGCGTGGATTAGCGACGGGCCCCGTTTCCATGGGGAATCGCTGACTTCCGCCGCCGAACTAGGCGGCACTGGCCGCATTTGGGGGAGGAGGCCTCCCCCGATTCATGGATTTGGCGACCGTGCGCCAAATCCATGGATCGCCAATCCATGTTTGCGCGCCCCCGAGTGAGGTGAGACGGGCAGGCCGAATCGTAGGAGCAAACTTGACCATCTTCGTGCGCCGAGCGAGGCGCTCAGTGTTGCGCTTCCCTCGCTGCTCACGAGCATGCCGCCTGCCAGCTCCGAGGTCAATCCCGAGGTAGGATGTGTGCGTCGCAGCCGTGACCCTGGGTAGGTGGATCTCTCAAGCTCTCCGCCGCCTCTGGCGGTGTGCGTTGCGTTGGGGGCTTTGCTGTGGTCCTGCTCGTTAACATTTGTCACGTGTGCGGAGCTACACCAAACCAAACCCGAAGGCCTCAATTTGCCCTCCATCTCCAGTTTGGGGGAGGGTCGGGGAACATTGAAAAACACACATGACGCCCGTACCCCCCCAACCCGAAATTCGGGTTCTCGGGTTGGGTTGGGGTGGTCTAGTAGGTAGCCACTCTCTGCTCACGAACATGCCGCCTGCCATCTCCGAGGTCAATGCCGAGGCAGGATGTTTGCGTCGCAGCCGTGACCACTGCTCCTCCCAAAGGCGTAGACCTCCCGTGAGCTCTCCGGCCCGGCCAGCCTCGGAGCACCCTCCGGGGGCGTCCCTGGGGGGGCCGCACGCTGGCAGTGCCCGTTCGTGAGGGGGTTCTCCGAGTTTCAGCTCTCTCGGATGATTGTCGGAGTCCGTTGGGACCCCTCTCGGGGACCGCTTGGAGACGGTTCGAAAGTCTCAACCATGCATACCACTTCTAGTGCTCACAGTATGGAGAGCACGGATAATGGTAACAGTGCGAATTCTTCTGCTCATATTGAGACGGCTATGACGCATACAGTTGACCAGGTATACCAGCAGTTCTACTTCTAATATTCACAGATGAAAGACATGAGTTATTCTACGACCAATCATGAACATAACACTGAGGATGATGAGGCTGATGAGGCTGATGCTGATGATGATGGTGCTGATGATGCTGCTGATGATGCGGCTGCTGCTGCTGATGATGATGAGGATGCAGATGACGCTGCTGCTTATGATGGTGGTGATGATGATGCTATGCTGATGCTGATGCTGATGATGATGCTGATGCTGATGATGATGATGATGCTGATGCTGCTGCTGATGCTGATTCTGATTCTGATGAGGATGCTGATTATGATGGTGATGCTGATGCTGCTGATGCTGCTGCTGCTGATGATGATGATGGTGATGATGATGATGATAAGGATGATGGTGATGATGGTGCCGACGAGGAGGAGGAGGCGGTGTAGTAGTAGTAGTAGTAGTAGTAGTAGTAGTAGTAGTAGTAGTCGTAGTAGTAGTAGTAGTAGTCGTAGTAGTCGTAGTAGTCGTAGTAGTAGTAGT